AGACACAGTCTACTAGAAACCTTTGGTTTATAAATAGAAACATGTTGAGAATACTGAGTAAAACCAAAGAGAAGAGAAGGAATCTCACTTATTAGATCAGGAGTTTCCCTTTGTGTTAAGTTATTTTTCTTCGCTATTTTTAATTTCCTATCTTGTGTGGATATCTCAAGCAACAACAGATGCACAAATTTTAAAAGTTTTTTTTTTCCTATGGGTGCACTGATCCACTTGAAGCTACTTTTGCCATTAATGAGGTTTTAATGGAAAGTGATAGGATTTTGTGTGTATTGCAAATGCCAACTATTGTGCTTGGGTAAAGGAATAACCCCATTAGCTTCCCCCCACCCACATTAGGAGGAGACTTGCTTTGTGTTTCAAAACATCTCAGTTGTTTTATCCCTTTCTGTACACTCCAGCTAAAATCAATGATGAATATCTCCTGTAATGTAAAGTCACTTTGAAACAGCCGGTTAAGCAGGAGAAAGTTGGTGAGGATAGTTGGTTGTTAGAAAATAGTCTTTTCAAATATTGCCCTCTCCCCTATAGAAGCTATTTATTGTGACAATTTTCTTTTTCCCATTTAGCAAGCAAGAGACATTTGGAGAACCTGATCCTACTGTTTCCACTCAATTATAATCCTGAGACTTGATGCTTTGATGGGATAGTAGTTTAGTTACAAATTGCAGATAATACAAAGATAGAGATACTAAAAGATACTTCGGTATGATGATCTTCAATTAAAATAAATTCATATGCACACTTACACATCTTTTTGTTAATAGTTGTGAATCTTACATAACCATTACAATTCCAAATTTCTTACCTAGCCACTTTAGTCTTATTTCTCAATAAAGTTGTAGATGTGTGTATGTAGAGTGTATGTATAATTTTGCTTTTATTTTTACTTTTTCATTTGCTTTTTTTTTCCTTTGGATGCATTGAAGTGGAGTGAATCCATAAGGATCAAACAGTTTTTAGTATTTATAAGTTTTGAAATAGTGATTTTGTTTTGAATATTTTTCAAATATTATTCTGGACTGCTTAAGTATATCCTAAAACATGACCTTATTTCCTAGAGTTGCTCTTGAAACTATTTATATCAATCCTGTTAAGTTGTGAAGAGATTCTTTCCTCAATTGATAATATAGCCTCTCTAATAAAGAGACAGAGCTGACTATGTTTAATTTATCAGTGACAACTCACAGATATTTAACTTTTATCATTTTTTAAACTTGGAAGTAAATTCTGTCTTTTAATTCCCCCATAGCCTTCAGGTGTAAGTTATCATTGCATCTTAGTATCGTAGACTTAGAGCTGGAAGGGACGTTAGAGTCAGGGGGAAATCTAGCCGATGTAAAAACAATTTTTAAAAAAATTAATAAAGATGGAAGTGATTGTTATAATCAAAATAAATTAATAAAAATCATCAGAAAATTAATAAAGGAACACTTGTGTTCAAATTCCGTTGATGATAGATACTAGCTCTGTGATGCTGATTAAGTCATTTAACTTATCTGTACCTCAGTTTCCTCACCTGTAAAAGGAGGTGATTGGACTCTACTGCCTCTGAGGTCAGTGATCATATGAAAGAATTATCCAAGTGACCCCTTCCCACAGAATAATAGTCATGGAAATATTTTTACCATTGTATTTACCTACGAGATGGACAAAGTTCCAAGAATTCCTTAAATTCATGTGGCTTAGCTTCTCTTGTTGAACTGTCGGTGCTGGCCAAGAAGAAGACAACAAGAAGGTAATCAGAGAGAAAAGAATGAAGTGGGACAAACAGAAGATGAGGAAGGGATGTCTGCAGAGCTCTATTGTTGTCATTTGAGTTGAGACGAGAGAGAGATGGTCAGGAGTGTAAAATGGTGGGAAGTGTTGGATTGGGTGATGAGAATAAGGCTACTAGTCTTGAAGGCAAATGCCGTCATCCCCACATTTCCGTGACAACAACTCAATGGGTAAGAAAAAGGTGGGATATACGTAAAAGTGAGCAAACTTCAAACGAAAATGACATGTAGGCATCATATCACAGCTGTGATGTAATCTGTTACAAAGATGGCAAAAGATAGAAAAGATAATTATTAGAGAGGCTGTTAATAACACAGACACACCAATGCAGTGTTGGTGAATCTATGAATTGGTCCAACAATCTTGCGAAATTATTTGGAATTATAATAGATGCTATACACACTAAATTGATCATATCCCTTGACCCAGCAATGTCACTACTAGGCTTAAGCCTCAAGGAGATCAAAGATACACAGAAAGGTCCCATATATATGAAAATATTTATAGCAGCATAGTTGTTTGTTTGTTTGTTTTGGTAGCATAAAAGTGGTTGTCCATCAATTGGGGATGGTTGATTAAATTGTGACATATGCACATAATGCAATATTATTTTGCCATGAGAAATGACACATGAAGAATTCAAGGAACCTAAAGAACACTTATATGTGGGGGAGCTAGGTGGTTCAGCAGATGGAGCACCAACTATGGAATCAGAAAGACCCGAGTTCAGATACAGCCTCAGACACTTACTAGCTATATGACTTAGTCCCAATTGCCTCCTTCCTCCAATAAATAAATAAAAATAAAAATGCTTATATGAACCCCTGTAAAACAAATAAGTAGAATCAAGAGAATAATTTACCTAATGATCACAAGAATATAAAGGAAAGCAAGTTTGAACAAAGTAGTAACCTACTATAAGTTCAGAGCACCAAAGACTGATGCATACTTACCTTCTCTCAACACAGATGGTGACCTATAGGTTCAGAATACAGCACACATTGGCGGACATACACAATGTGTTGCTTTATTTTGCTGAACTGTACCTCTCTGTAACAAGGAGAGGGTTATAGTTGTGGGAGGAGTCATTGGGAAGTGAGAGTGATATTAAAAAGAGTATCAATAAAATATTTGATTATTTTTAATGGGCAGTGGAGAGGCATATGGTGAGTGTGAGTGGGCTACAGCACATTCAAAATAGCAATTGTGCAAGAGGACCGGGATTCCTACTGGCTGCTTGTTGACTTAGAAAACCACAGATTAGCATTATCTATGTTGTATCACATTTTTGTTTTGAACATTTCCTAATTTCATTTTAATCTAGTTCTGCTGTACTGAGGGTAGCTGAGAGTTTGACAACTCTGGTATAAAGGATGTCGTTAAACAACTGTGACTGAAAAAGAAAAGAGGTCAGTTGAGTAGCAAAAACGAGGGACAAAGAGTGGATTTCCTATATGCTCCATTGGTATCCCTGCAATACCTATGTATCTACCAGCAGACTGTAAGCATCTTGTAGATGGTGACTGCTTTCATTTTCATTTTTGCATCTCTAGCCCCTAGAGTACCTGGCACATAGTTGTGTTTGTGGTTATGGTTGTGGTTTTGTCCTTCATTCTCGAAGAGGACCATGACATCAGGGAGATGATGTCATGACTTGCAATTAACTTTGATGTGAGTGAAGGAGGGCTGTGTAAAGTCACCAACCTCATTTTCTCCTCCAAAACCATCTGGGTATAGTGGTCAGATATCATCGGGAAGGTGATTGGAGACAGCCCACAGTGCTATAGGAGACTTTGGCCTTTTAAGCTAAGGTCTTTCCAGGCCACTTTCCACTCACTTTGAGTGAGGCAACACCCATTCTGTGAATAGGCCTCTTTGGAAAGTGAGTCAGGTAGGAACTTAATAAATAAATGCTTGTTTAGTTGGATTGCATTGAATTGAAATAGAAAGCTGAGTGGATTTCCTGTGAAGAAGTATCATAAAGGTGGCTCATATTCTCTGCCCCCCCTTTTTATGTTATGATAACTTCCCAATGACTCCCCCCAATAGAGCAAGGTACAGTTAAATATTAAAAAACCCCACACTGGCCACGTCTAGCAGTGTACGTCTTATTCTAAATTTATAGTTTTCTATTTCTCTACTAAAAGAAGAGAAGCATGCTTTAGCCTTCAGTGTTTGAAGTCAAGATTGCAGTAAAATACAAGAGGAATCGTACTCATCGAATATCTGCTTTACTGAGGTTTTCTTTTTTTAAAACCGGAAAAAAAGGAAACTGGACTTTAAAATTCACTGTTGTAGGTCAAAATAACTTTAGTCTTTTCTTTTCATTTTTTAAACTTTAAAACAATAACCAGGAGAATGCCAAACATGGATTGGAAGCCTTTAAGAGTGATTACAAAAATAATGTTACATGTTTTTTTCAACATCTTTCTATTTGTATCAGTGCTATAAACAAAGAGGCACACATGAATTACACCTACTGTGCTCCTATAAATTGAATTCTACTTGTCTTATTAATTTCTCATGCTGTGGTTCCATTTATTATCTCGAACAACCCTCAATGACACTGAACAAATAGGTCTCATATTATACAAAAGAAAAATGAGTATTTTAAGCTCTTCTGAGCCCAACACAGCAACTGATTAGCAGTAAATCTAAAGTTGTTTTTTATTTTTTCCCCAGACAATTCATTTATACTAAAACATTTTGAGGGGAAAAAATTGCAGAATGTTGGTTGTCTTTGTAGGAGCGAAATGGAAAGTTCAGCAATTGCCTAGTGGATTCAATCTGCATAATTAGGAACAAAAGACTTATTTTTGGTTCAAAGCAATTTCCCCCCCTCTGAATCACATTATCTGATTAATTGGCTCATGTCTACACTTTCTCTCGCCTCTGCAGACTCAGTCAGCTTTTTATTTGTCATCATTTCAAAAATCACAAGAATAATGAGATATGTTTTTATCCAGAGTTACTAGTTTCTATGGAAAAAAAAATGTCTAGCAATCTTAATGAAGGTCAAGAGAAATATTACCCTTTTCTTTCCCACCCGAAACAAATGCTGTGCTATTTTGGATTCCACAGGTTCCTGAAAAGGGGAGGATGTTTTAATTATGCTCTGTTAAGACGTATATTTGGCCTTGTGAACATCTAGTTTATTGTCTTCCCCCCCCCGAAACTTAGTTCTGTTCTGTTCTGTCTTTAAATAGATCTTGAAAACTTTAAAACTCAAATGAGAAGCACAGTATCAGTGCGAGAAGGACAGGGAGTCGTGCTGCTCTGTGGTCCTCCCCCTCACTCTGGAGGTAAGAAGTGGGTTGTTTGTACCCTGCATGTGGACAGAGTCAGAGACAAGGCAAAGCCTGAGGCACATCTACACCATCACCTTCATAACAGAGTCAGAGTTGTGTGATTACCTGAGCCATCATTAAACCGTGTCAATGGGTAATGCTGTGGAGGAATGGCTTCCAAAGATGGCCATCCATGGGGCGTTGTAAATGGCATGCCTTCAATCTAAAAGGGGGAGTTGTTGGTGCCAGAGGGTTAAAGTGAGCTCTCCAGAGCCCCTACTTCTCAACAGAAATTCATTCTTGTGCCTTCAATGTTTGTTGTTTACTTCAAGGCTGTCTTTGGCCTTGCCTCCGAGGAGCTGTACATGAAAAGATAGGATGCTACCACCCATTGATTACCTTCCCAGGCCACACATAAAAGCATCTTTGTGGGAAGGGGAGGGGGAGGAGTGGCACTGAGATGACAGGTTTTCTGTGACATCAACATGGAGTGGGATATTGCCAGTGGTTCAGAAGCTTTCGCATCTAAAGAAAAGACAGATAAATGCATCCGCCAGGCATGTGTCTTGAATTCTGGATATGTTTTTCTGAACGTACTCGTTGTTAGAGCCCTGATTCTTTCAGGGATAAAAAGGATAATTATTAATATACAAATTAATTATTAATATACAATAACTGTCCGCAGGGAAAGTAGCTAATGCCTTTTTGAAGAGTGGCAGGCAGGTAGATGGTAGATACGACCTTTAGCTAATCAAATCAAGAATCGACTGATTAGCTGCTGTGAGCCAAGTCAGGTGCTGGCTCCGGGCATCCAAAGATAAACATGAACCAGTCCTCACTCTCCAGAATCTCACATTACACTCATCTACAAAACAAATGCAGATCCATCTCTACCCTATAAAAGCCTATTCCTTTTCCTCCCTGGCCACTCCTCCACACACACACATACACACACACACACACACACACACACACACACGTATCTGTGCAGACACACAAAGTTACTGGTTTCTTACATTTAAATATTTCCTTTGTTTTCTGTTTTTATTTTTGTTTTTATATAGCTTGGGGCTTTGTTTTGCTTTAGTTTGGTTTTAACCTCAAGAAGCTTACATTGGGTCAGGGGAGATATGGGCAAAAATTAGGACGTACAAACTATAGATAAACTCAAGGGTAGAAGGCAAACCTTTGATTTAGGGAGCTTTCTGGTTGAGCCAACTCCCTTTAATGATGCAGGTTAGGTCTGCAACTTAGAGTCTTGAAGGGTTGACTCGAGTACCAAGAGGTTGTTACTTGTGGCTTGCCCCAGGGTGGTTGTTTGTGTATTCATCTTTCATCCTTGAAAAGGACCCAGTGACGGCATAATGTTGGGATCAAGGTGCAGTGCTTTTGACTGTGGCTGACCAGTCCAGGAGGAGCTCAGGAGGCTCTCCCCCAGGTCAGGCACAAGTAGTCTGTTTGAACTTTCAGGATAGAGATATCTCTCGATTTGTGTATCTCGTGTTTCCTTTGTGCTACTGTGATTCTTCTTTGCTCATAGAGCACAGTGACTACTTTGATGTTGGCATGCCATGCTGGCTGTGATGCAACAGAGTATGGATCGATTCTCTGCTGCCTGTGCTAAATTTGGCCTGACAACACCAAGAAAACAGAGGTTCTCCACCAGCCAGTACCGCATCATCTATATGTGGAACCATCTGTTACAGCAAATGGAAAAATTTTGATTGTGGATAAAATCATTTACCTTGGCAGTATACTTTTCAGAGATGTACACATAGATGATGAGGTTGACGAACACATTGCCAGAGCTAGCTCAGTGCTTGGGAGGCTCCAAAGGAAACTGTGGGAGAGAAGAAGTTTTAGGCTGCCTACCAAACTGAAGGTCTACAGAGTCATTGTGCTGACTTCATTGTTGTATGCCTATGAGACCTGTGTAGTCTGCCAGTGCCATGCCAGGAAATTGAATTTCCATTTGAATTATCGTGGGAAGATTCTGAAGATTCTGGCAAGATAAGGTGTGGACACTGAGGTTTTTTTTTCTTGAGGTGAACTACCAAGAATTTAAACTCTGCTTCAGAGAGAACAACTTCAATGGGCTGGCTATGTAGCCAGACTTGCCCTGTGTCACAGAGAGCAGAGGTGAGACTTGAACCCAGGTCTTCCCAAACAAACCTAAGGGATTTGTGCACTCATTCTCTCTCTCTCTCTCTCTCTCTCTCTCTCTCTCTCTCTCTCTCTCTTTTTGTGTGACTCTCTCTCCTTTGCTTTTTCTTTTTCTCTCTTTCTCCTGTCTCTATAGCAAAATACATACATACAAGGTAATTTGTAAGTAAGAGGCATTCATAGCCTCTGGGGTAATCAGAAAAGGTAGATGGAAACGAGGTGAACAGTGAAAGAAACTGAGGATTCTAAAAGGCAGGGATGAGAGAGTCCATCCCAGATATGGAGACCACCTTTGCAAAGGATCAGAGCTATCAGCTGTGAAGACCAGTAAGAAGGCCATTTCAGATGTGGCTAGATCACAGAATATGTGGAGGAGAATAAAGTATAAGTCATCTAGAAAACTAGGTTGTCAAAGGTTTTAAAGGTCAAACAGACTCTAGAGGTAATAGGGAACCACTGAATAAGGAGTGATGTGGTCAGATACACATGTCACCAATATCACTTCACTATCACGTTGACAACTGTGGAAGACTGTGTTTGCCAACTGTGTTGGAGATGGCTGGAGAAGAAAGAGACCTGGGATCTTAGTAATACAGAATGCTAGACTTGTAGTCAGGGAGACCTAAGTTCAAATCTGGCCTTAGACACTCACTAGCTGTGTAACCCTCTGGACAGGTCATTTAATCTATGCCAATTTCCTCATCTATAAAATTAAGATAATAATTATACCTGCCTCCCAGGGTAGTTGTGAAAATCCAGTGGGATAATATTTTTAAAGCACTTTTTACAATCCTTTGAACACTATATAAATGCTAGCTATGATGCATGCTGTTTCTCCCCTGCCCCACACAAACCTCAGTAGAATATAAGGGTATGGACTTTAATTTTTGTCTTCATATCCCCAGCACTTAGATTAGTGCCTGGCCTGTAAACATAGAAGATGCTTAATAAATGCTAACTGAATGGGATCAAATCAGATCTTTTAATTGGTGCTTTTGATTGGTTTGAATTATTGGGGAAGCTTGAAATGTAGTCAGAATATTAAATTCAAAGAGAAAATAACAGCAAGTGGTGCCAACCGCGCCAATGCTCAAAGATGCCTTCAACTTTTTTGGATCCATCTTGCAGATTTGACGACAGTACACAGTTGCCAGGCTATTCCTGTCCTCCAAGCAGGGTTATACCAATAAAGTCCTTGGACTGAACAGACATTTCTGAGGGTTTTTAAAATTAGATATAATCACCGGGAACAAAGAAGCAATCGGCTGACTGATTAGGCATGCATACAGTACAGTCCTCGTAGTAAACGGGTGGCAGGAGGACACTCTGAAGATGAGCGTTTTCTCATCTCATAAAATTAGGGAACCGTGGTGCAAGGAGGCTCACATTTATCTCTACCTTGAGTGATTTTGCACGTTGTTTTGCTTTTTGGCTTTAAAGGATAGGAAATGAGGTGAAGGTAGAAAACGAGTCTCATCAGGAGTGAAGGAAGAAAAACTATCCCCAAATTGATGATCATTAGCTCTTAAGAGCCTGGAATACATCATGGCACGCAGGGAGCTCCTCGTAGTCCTGTGCTAGCCACAGAATAACTTTTCTTGGGCAGGAGAATATGTAACCAAAGGAGAACATGATTGTCTCCTTGCCAAGATATATAGGACAATTATGAAGGGTACAGGGCACATTTGGAAGCTAGAGAAATAACTCTCAAGGTCACAAACACTAATGCCGTTGCAGTTGCCCGGTGGAGTTGGAGTCAGCTTATAAATTGTACTCTTGGGAATCTGTCTTTAAGAGGCTCATCATGAAGGCAGGGATTCAACCCATATCTGCTACTGCTATTTCAGGTTCTACCAGGATGGTCTGACTCCATTCAAGGTCTGACTTTGTCTACTCAGGAGCTAACTGCCACATTCCCCCACCCTTGAATTGATCAATTTGGATTAATCATGGGGGTGGCTCACACCACATTAGGGGTGCAGTTGATGTGATTTGGCCACAGAAAATGTCAGCACATCGGGAACTACTCACCCCAGACTACCCCATAGTCCTTGATGACTGCTTTGTGTAGCAGAAATGCTGCCTTTGAAGTGAGAGGAACTAAGATCAAAACCTGCCACTGCTAGCTACTCTGTTCTTCCAGAAAGTGTTTTGGGGCAGTTGGAGTTGGCAGGGTCTGCGAATAAAGTAATAGGCATGGAAGTGAAAGACAAAGGACAGGTACCAGTGAAAGGAGAGAAAAGAGTTGTTGAGTCATGAGGGCAGGGAATGGAAGTGTGGGGCGGGGAAGGGTCTGATTCTTAATTACAGTGATTTCTGAGTAGTCTTGGACCAGCACTGTGAATGGCCAATTGTTTTCTCTCTCCTTTTTAAAATATATATTTTATAAGAAGCTTGACTGTAAACATCATTGCCAACAATTTTGCCTACTTAGGAACTATTTTTGTTGTTGTTCAGTTGATTCAATTGTGTCTGACTCTTCCTGACCCTATTTAAGATTTTTCTTGGCAAAGGTTCTGGGCTGGTTTGTTATTTCCTTCTCCAGCTCATTTTACAGATAAGAAGACTGGGGCAAACAGTAAAGTGACTTACTCAGGGTTACACGGCTAGTAAGTGTCTGAGGCCAGATTTGACCTTAGGTTTTCCCTGACTCCAGGCATGGTTCTCTATCCACTGTACCATCTAGCTGCCTCTAATAACTATTTACATAACAATTTCAATGTGTAATGTGCCATAATGCATTTTTAGTGCAGTAATTGCTTATATTTAAAAGAATTAATTTCAAAATATAAATTATCTTAAAGAGGAAACATGGCTTAATGGATGGCGAGCTGGTGTATCTAGGCTGGGGA